GGAGGAGGAGGAGGAGGAGGAGGAGGAGGAGGAAAGTCAGGGTCAGCATCAAGGCACCCTGAGAGCTCCGAGGGGTAAGAGGAAATGGAACTGGCAGAGAAAGAAACAAAGGCGGAGCCTGGCTGTCCGTCAGTCCTCAGATGGAGAATCAACAGCCCCCAGGTCTGGAGGTGGCTGATGAGGAAGAGGAGGAACAGTTGGGTCCAGTGCCTGACATGCGGATGCGCAGAAGGCAGAGGAGAGGAGAACAGGGGAAATCCGTGGGCCGATCCTTGGTACAGAAGAGCCACTGCTGTTAAGAGAAGCCCCACGCTAGCTCTGGGGATAAAAGGCAGGAGGTGGAGATGAATAGATGTGGCAGACAACTATTTATCTCCCTGCCGGGCAGACTTCTTAGCCTGCAGTGAGAGATAAACTTTTTGCCAGGGCTGTTGGCACTCCTAATAAAGGACTATTTTGAGTTAACTTCAGAGGGTTTTGTCGTGTTTAGGGAGCTGGGTCAGAAATAAGCAAAATCAATGGAGAAGCCAGATTCACTTAACAAGTGTGTTACTACCTTAATAACTGAGGGGATTTATTTAACAAGCGTTGCAAGAAAAATGGGGCAAAACTCATTTAACATCTTTCTTGCTTAGCAAAGAAAGATGTGATAGTTAAAGTTGAAAACTTTTTTTTAAAAAAGGGGGGGGAGGGGATACCATGCACACAACCTTAACTTGTTCTCTGGAGAAGCTCAAGTCATCGACAGAAAAAAACTCATCACCTTGAACAGTTTTTACAGATGCCCTTTTCCCTCTTAAAATACCTCCCATGAGCACCAAAGCTTGACAATCTGGAATATTTTTGATTGCATCCGTTTCTCCTTCTATTGGCATTTTAGAATTTTGAGTGCATACCCCAGAAAGTCCAGACATATCCTATTAAAGCTGTTGTGGCCCGCCAGCACAGCTGGCGGCAGACTCAGACAGTGAGAAGGTTGGGGAGGAACATGGACCAGTCCTGGAGTCTGGGGAAGGCTCTGTGTCGGAAGCAGAGAGGGGCCCAGGGCTGTCAGAGAGTTATCAGCTGCCTTTGGAGTCGGAGATAAGTGGGGCAGATGAACAGCTGGAGCCTATTCCCAATGTGCGCATGCAGAGCTGTCAGGAGAAGGGAACAATTAAGGAAAATGGGTCGACTCGGGAGGAAAGGCGCAAGTGGACAACGAATGGCCACTCCCATAGGGAAAGGGCAGCAAAGGGGGAGTGGTGTTTGCAGGAGACAATTAATTTATTAGTGTGAAGATTTGCTTATCTGAGTTCGTGCCTAACAGAGACTCCTTGCCAAGTATTTCATTTGTACAGCGTTGCGCTTGGCCTGGCAACTGTCCAAGGACTGATAAGGTCTGTTTTTGCAATTAAACCTTGAGAGGCTGGCTGTGAATGCAAGGAATCCACATTAGCCAAATAAAAACGAGATAAGGAGACTATTTCGTGATTATGTTAAGCCTAGGTCAGAACAAAAGCAAACACTGTAAATCAGAGGTCTTCAAATTTGGCAACTTTAAGACCTGTGGATTTCAACTCGCAGAATTCTGGGAATTGAAGTCCACAAGTCTTAAAGTTGCCAAGTTAGGGGGCCCCTGCTGTAAATCTTAGAAAGGAGTAAAATCCATGTCCCCTGATTTCCATTTGGCACAAGACTGATGGGTATTTTTAAAAAAGGATTACCTTTCTAATGAGCCTCGACAGCTGCCATTTGACCTCCCAGCAGGGATCGCCATCTTCTTTTTCATTTGGATCCACATCTTCTAGGAAAAAATGTTCTCTGTTGAAGCAAGCAAAGCTACTCTTTGCGTAGGTGTCTCGGAGCTGTTAGAAAAATGGGGGAAGCCAAGTGTTAATTTAAATGAACTGAACTGTGGAGGCAGGAACACATACAGTAGGAATAGTACAGTAACTGAACATCAGCAATGTTTATTTGGATACATTTAGACACCAACCTCCCTCCCCAACTTCCATTTTTGTGTTCGGTGTTGGGGAATCCCAGCTTACATTTTAAACATATTTCATGATCTTATTCTTTTTATCAGGCCACTGATACCGATAACAGGAAGCTACTATCAACCCAGTTCCATCTGTTCAGTCTAGCACAGAGACTTTGTTTCCCCTTCTGCAAATTTCAAACGTCAACTATGAGATGCATTCATTCACAATCCTTTCGGTGGGGATTTTAGCAGTTTTATCATTGATCCTCACCATTGATTTTGCTGAAATCCCCAGGTTGTAAAGCTCTCAGCCATTATTTGATTTTCCAGGCAGGCTGACACATGTCTGGTCAGAAGCAAACCATACGATTTTACATAAGGTTTGTCATCATAGGTAAGTATGTGAGAACTAACTAGAAAGCTGATTAAATTAAGTAGGTGACCCAGGAGTTTCCATTTGATTTAAAATGTCAATTGCCATTAATTGAAGCTTCGGCCACAGTGGCAAAGATTCAGAGAATTGGAAGTCCAAAACCATAGAACAGCCCTAGTAATTCCTTTGAACTATAGTTCCTTTGAACTATGGTGCTGGAGAAGACTCCTGTGAATCCCTTGGACTGCAAGGCAATCAATCTGGTCAGTCTTAGGGGAGATCAACCTTGACTGCTCTTTAGAAAGCCAGATCCTGCAGATGAAACTCAAATACTTTGGACACCTAATGAGAATGAAGGACTCACTGGAGAAGAGCCTAATGCTGGGAAAGATTGAGGGCAAAAGAAGAAGGGGACGACAGAGAATGAGGTGGCTGGATGGAGTCACCGAAGCAGTAAGCATGAGCTTAAATGGACTCCAGAGGAGCGTAGAGGACAGGAAGGCCTGGAGGAACGTTGTCCATGGGGTCGCGATGGGTCGAACACAACTTCGCAACTAACAACAAAAATACCTTTAAAAACTA